AATAGCCATCAGTCCTGCACATGGGACTGTGAAAAGATAAAAGCTCTCTGGCTGCACCTTTGCTTGGCCAACTGAGGACCTGTTTTAGACTCTAACATCCACTTTTCCTATTAATGAACTTCAAGGAGATGCCCAACTGTGCCAGCTCATTCCCAGCAAACACGGCCAGTTTTCCTGTCTTGCTTTCATACTGAGCAGTGGTTCTCCTTACCCTGACAGCTGCTCTCAGAGGACACAGGAGCAGATACCAACAGTGGTTATAAAGGTTGGATCACCCTATGTTGTTGGAATATAAATTCCTCCCATTTCCATATCTGGGAGCTGCCCAGCGACTGCTCTTTCAATAGGCTCAAGACGAATGGTCATCATGCAATTGTGCTGCAGCTGCCCTCTGCCTCCCTGCTCTTTTCCTGCCCTGCTCAGCACAAAGGAGCTCAACAGCACAGCTCTGTCCCTGCTGCACCCATGAAGGCTCCTGGGGAAACAAAGGGATGATGCATTTTTCCTCCTGTGGCTATACCAAGGGATTTCCATTGACAGAAAAACCCTCCCCTTTTCCATGATCTCCCTTCTGCCCTTGTACTTGCAATATCCAGTCTCACAAGGAGAATTCCTTTGTGCTTGAGGTATTTTCATTGCTTGCGCTTTTTTTTTTTCCTTCACCTTTTTTGCAATCAACTTGCTGTATGTTAGCTTAAAGAATACTTGAAACTCAGATTTGAGACTGGGGGGGTGTTATTGAAGAAGAAATGACTTTGCAGACAACACTTTATGGGGTTTAGCTCTTCAAATGTCCAAAGTTCCCAGACAACACAGAAAATATCAGAAAGAAGTGCAAAGGAAGAGCTCAAAAGGATAAATCTGTGTGGCTAAAGAAAGAGAATGGATGAGATAGTGTCTGGAAGCTGATGAAAGTAGAGAAGGGACAGTGTAAACTGGAAGGAAGGGCATAAATCAGAAAGGAAATGGGTTTAGAACTAACTCAGAGGACAAGCCTAGAGAAGAGTTTTGCTTTCACAGTTATGTCAGTAACACTGAGATATATCTAGTTTTATCAGTCACTTCGGCGCTTTCCTCTCCAGATCTGCAGAAAAACCTCCCCACAAGCTCTCCATGGGGTTGTGGGGCAGCATCAGCCCCTCACTCCCCACCCAGCCACAGCCAGGGCTCCTGCTCATTGATCGGGTGGGAACAAATTGGGCACAGGCAGGGAAGTCCTTGGGAAAGGCCACTGACCTGCCTTCCAGCTTCCTTGGGCAACAGCTGTAACTTGTGTTACGTTGTTCCTCAGTGGCATTTTACTTCTAAAAAAAAAAAAAATGAATAATCTTATAAACAGTAGTAGAGATTGTTGTTGGCACAGCGCATGTTCACAGCTGCAGGATGCCCATCTCCTTCTGTTTGCCATCGCAGGACTGAGGTGATACCGCAGGTCTCTGTCCTCAGGAGTGCTCAGAATAGCTCCTGGCTCTCTCTTCCCCTTGCTCACAGACAAACCACAGACATAGATCCTGCAGGGAGCCCTTCTCCATTCTTCCTGTCAAAGGGCAGGCTGCAAAGGAGACACTAGAGCTTGCACATTGACTCCAGGAAGGGTCTAAAGGTTATGGTGCTGGAAGTACAGGAGCAGTGCACACACCTTGTTAATAAGGACTTGAGGAAGGGTAAAAGGAAATAGGCATTGGTAAACCGTAAGTTAAGGGAGGCTGCAGGAAACAGTGAAAGCTAAAGCTGTGGCCAAATGGAAAAAATAGAAGTAACATATCTGGTGGCAGATTGCATGTAAAAGCACAGCAGACAAAAAGCACTTTGAGACACAAATGGCAAAGGGAATTAATGCTAATAATGTTTCTTCACTTCAAAGATTCGGGCGTCTGTCAGAAAATCTGTAGGACCAGCTGATGGCATATGAAGATCACAGCAAATATGGTGATTTTTTAATTATTTAGTTGCACCAATGCGCATAGTGGAAGAAATTTTGTGTTCAGGTGGTTCTAACCCCTCTTGGGCTTTAGGGATCTTAGGAAAGAATAGGTAGAATTTAAAATTACCTTAGTAGAGAGATGAAAAAAATTCACAGAGTGAATACCAAAAAATAACTAGAACTGATACTAAAAATTCAAGAGGTCTAAGATGTCTCTAAACTGTGTACCAGATTTATATGGCAAAGTTTTTGTAGTGGAGGGACTTCAGGGGTGGCTGCTGTGAGAAGACACCAGGAGCCATCCCCATGTCATGTCAGACACAGCCAGTACCAGCCAGCTCCAAGCTGGACCTGCTGCTGCCCAAAGCTGAGCCCCTCAGTGACAGTGGTGGCACTGGTCATCATGTCTTCATCTCTATTGCTGAGTCTAATGCTGTCCTGCCTTCCAATAATTCGATTAAAAGAAAAAAATATGTGTCACATAACATGACCCTACAACTAGCTGCCACAGCTAACCAGCAAAGATGTTTCCAGACTCACTGAGTAATTCAAACTTCAGATTCCCAATCTAACATAATGAAAAATGTACCCATCCTGGGCTTGCGAGCTGGTACTTTCCCTGCCTGACCAGAGGACTTCAAGTTAACAGAAGAGAAAAAGAAGCAGGGGGTGAAGAGAAAGAGCTTCCCCAGGTGAGAAAAATCCCATTAGCAGGGATGTTGGAGACATCACTGGATAGTTGGGAAAGTTCAGTGTATGAACTTCTATCCAAAAGTACTCTTTGGCCCTGTAGGCCAGCAGCACAAATTCAATTGCTGATACTAATCCCAGCATTTTCATTCCAGTCCATGCCTCTCGTAGAGCTGGGAAGGTTTTCTACAGAGGGAAAAAACGGAAAACTTCTTTGACTCAAGAAGAAGGTTCATCACTCTGGAAGAGTTAAAAATTAATGAGAGACAAGAGAGGGGAATATGAAGCTGAGATTAGTTCCTTGCTTGTTTTCTAGCTCCCCACTCTGAAGTTACAGAAATGCATACTGCATGTCTGCTTTCTCCCACAGGCAGAGTTAATTACTAGTGGGAATTGTTTTCACTGTTTCCTGCTGGAGTATCACAGAACCACTGACCTGGCGCCGCTGCCTCTGACTGCCTCCTCCCCAGGCAGCCAAGAGGGAGCAACAAAAAAATCAGCAAAGATGCTGAAAGGGGTCTTTCCCAGCCAGGATCCCCCTTCTCCTACCTGCAGTTGCAGGACCACTGGGGCTAGAGCTCAGACTGATCAATGGAAACTGGAGAAGCTGTGTAAAACTAGAAGACAAAGAAAACAGACCCTCTCAATAGGAGGGACTCAAACGGAACAAGATTCAGCTCTGTGGATATAACTACAAACTGTAAAACATCTCTACTTTTTTCGGGTCAGCCAGTTCAGGCCTCCTCCCCTACCTAGCTCCTCTTCACTGCTTCTCCTTAAGATCCTTTCATGGTTCTAGGTGCCTCTGCCACTGTTCCACCTTAAAGCCACAACTTTCTACATATCCTGAAAGCCTCATCATGCAGCCAACATGGTTAATGAAGGGGGTTGATCATATAAATTTTTCACAGCTCTTTACCATATATGGTACCTGGCAATGGCTCTTGCTGGGGTTGCTGCCACTCTTACGAGGAAATCCAGTCACCACCTCAAGCTTAGAAAGTCCTATCTTGCTGTAGTGGCAAAGTAGCCATGAGCTATCCGTTCTCCAGATCAGGACCCTGACCTCACAGCCTTTCATCCCTGTTGTCTTCTTTCTGCAGGGTTCCTGTTGCCTATGAGATACAAGGACACAAAAAGACATTTTCATCCTCATTGTGTCCCGTGGGGTGCAATAAGTAACTGGGATATTTACAGTTTTACCCAAGGGATAACATCTGAGGATTTCAGCTGAAAGCAACACTTCCTCCCTCACCTGCACAAAACGGCTGTCATAGAAGCAGGGTATCCCACTCTTCAGTAACTGAAGCCTGGAATAACTCTTTCTCCCTATGTTAGCTGTGTTTATAGCGTAGGATATACTGCTGGTATAGACCTCACAGGACAACTCTCACAGCTGGCAGCGTCACTGACTCTTCAATGGGACTGTGAGAATCTTCTCCTCCTACTTAGCAATTACTCACAGGATAACCATGAACATTGCTGTCAGCGGAGGCTTCTTTTCCAGCTAGTCCCTCTGGAGGAACATGGCATGCAGCAGGAACTCACATCTGAGAGTGGAACAACAGCAGAAGTAGGGTCTGCTTCTGCTGGGAGCTCCCACCCTCTCTGTATGCTCACACCCCCTAAAGATACACCGGAGCAGATGGGAGCTGTGTCTGCATGAGTCCATGAGACGATGGGACTGCATGCAGTTTGGCTCTCATTCCCCTGCCCCCAGGACAAGAAAGACATGAATAAACTGGAGTGAGTTCTGCAAAGGGCACACTATATTGTTAGCAGCTAAAGCTCTTGCCCCATGAGAAGAAGTTGCCACCATTTACTTAGTCACCTACACTTAATGCATGTCCTGGAGTAAAATGCAATGGCTTCCAGTGCAGGCATCTTCCTCAGCCCCAGTGAAACCATGAGGAGAGAAGGAAAGTGTGGAAGAGGATGCGAGGACTTCCACAGGGTGAAGGACCCTGAGACCTCCACCTCCATTTTGCCTCAGCCCCTTCAGAGGTTTCTTCCCCTTCAGTCCACCACCTCTCCTCCCACCTCACTCTCCCCAACACCCACCTCACAGCATTGCCAGGATGTTCCTCAAAATCAGAGCACCCCCTGGGGAGTGGTCCCAGGTCTGTCCCCTTCCCTTCCCTCACATCCACAAGTTTTCACAGCCCTGCAAGACCCCTGGCCAGCACAAATGAGTGACAGCCCTTCTGCCTGGCAAGGGTGGCCCCACCACCAAGGGATAGGTTGGCAACAGGAGCAGTACATAGCAACAACTAGCACTCCCCATGGGGTTTGTGGACACTCCCCAAGGACTTCCACCCACTTCTCCTGGCTCATAAATTCCCCCGTGCCATCACCTCCATGCAGTGAGGCACCAAGCAGGTCTACCATGATGCAACTGCTCGTTCCTGCTGTCCTCTGCCTGCTGGGCTCCTGCTGTCTCTGGGGCACAGAGGCACGGGGATATGAGTCCGTCCTCACAGTGCCCAATGGAGGCCCCTGGGGCTCCTGGGGACACAAACAGTTTTGCCCCAGCGGCTACGCTAAGGGATTTGAACTGAAGGTAAGGTTTCACTGCTTCTTTGGGCTGGGAAAAGGCCCTGCTGTGAAATTATATTATTTTGTTCTGGTCTCAGCAGGGCTGGCCACAACACTTTGTCCTCTTGTAGCAGTTTGTGTTGTACCTGCAGCTCGTGCAGGCTTATCAGCAAGAAATCTCAAGCCTAGAGCAGCTCTCCAGCGAGCAATTTCTTAGCAGGAGTCTGTCCACGGGGCAAGAAAAGGCCTGGGGTTGGTACTGAAGGGCCCATTCCCAAGGGACAGGGACAACTCCCAGCTGCCAGCACTCCAGCTCTGGGTGTCACAGCACATGGTGAGAGGGTGGGCATGACCTGAGACAGCAGCTACCAAGCATTCCTGTGTCCAGAGCCTCTGATCCACAGCTTGGAAAAAAATCAGGGGTGGGCAACAGCAAAAAGGGCTCCCTGAGAAACGTTGTAGAGCTGCCCCACAGCCCTGCTCAGCAGCACTCCCTGTGTCTGGCCCTGACCCTGAAGCCTCCTACCACCCCTCATCACAAGGCCTCACCTCATCTCTTCTTTTAAAAGGGGGAGGGGGTGCTGACCTCTCCCGTTTTCCTCCCCTCTTCTAAGGTGCAGCCCTACCAGGGATTATGGCTGTTTGGCGACGACACAGCTCTGAACGGCATCCGCCTGCTCTGCATGGATGGCACGGTCATCGAGTCCTCCGTGGGGCAGTGAGTAGTCTTTGCTTCCTCATCCTCCTTCAGGGCAGCAGCTTTGGGAGAGCATGAAGGAAAATCAGGGCAATGGTTTCCTCCATAGTGACCCATATCCCCTGTAAGGTGGCTCCCCCCCTTGCTTGAAGAGGTGGATGAGCTCCCCCTGGCCACAAATTTTGAAGGTCTTAGGGTAGAGATCTGGTCTCAGGGAAGGGAACTGTACTTCAAAAGATGAAGGAGAGTTAAAAAATGCAGATCTTGAACTTGTATTTTCTCCTTTTCTTCAAATGCTTACTTTGAAAAGGACATTGATATTAAGTAACAAGGACAAAGCAAGCAGCTGAAATTCCCAAGGGGTCCTGCAACAACAGGGTTGATGGTGGCCAGGCATCTAGGGGGTGATAGAGAAGCAGAGTGAAACCCGCCATCCCTGGGTATGTCCCCTGCCCCAGGAATACGAGGATCCCAGGTTAGCTGTTGTGTTGATTGCAGCACAGCAGAGGCTAAACACGTCTTGGTGAGCTGTTTTCTTCTCTGGCAGGTGGGGAAACTGGACCGAGGCCCAGTTCTGCTCCAGCAGCAGGCTGGTTTCCTTCTCGCTGCGTGTGGAAAAGAGGTGGCGCCTGCATGACGACACGGCAGCCAACAACGTGAGGTTCACCTGCTCAGACGGGACGCAGCTGGAGGGCAGGGGACTTTCATGGGGTCGCTTTGGCCCATGGAGCAGCAGCTGCACCTCTGGGGCCATCTGTGGACTCCAGACAAAGGTGGAGGAACCCCAGGGAAAGGGGGACGACACAGCTCTCAACGACATGAGAGCCTTCTGCTGTGAATGAACCCCTCCCTTGACCCCACGCCAGCATCTACAAGGTGATCCACCATTAAACCTTGAATCTGTCCTTGCACAAGGAGCAGTGTGTGTCTTTCTGCGTTGCATACTGTAACGGGCAGCCAGATCCTTATGTTACAGCACCCAGGGGGTTTCCTCCTGCCCCCATCCAGTAGAGGTGGGGTTGCTGCAACTCCCGGCTCCCAGGTCCAGCCTGCAGTGAGGCTGAGGATGGGTTACCAGGAGGTGTATGCACACACACACATGGCCAGCCACTGATGAACACAGAGAGCAGTGTCTTCACACTTTGCCTACACCCACGTAGACTCACACACACACAGGAACAGCACAAGCAGCAGGTACTGTTCCGCTCCAGCAGATCAGGATTGATATCCACTAGTGAAATACGTACTAACAGATGGAAAACAGGTCTCTCTGGTATCTGGGTTTAAATACTCAGCCTGCCCCAGAGCAGCCTCAGGCCCCAGTTCCCCCAGTGCTGGCACCAGCACCTCCAGCCCCTGAGGCTCGTGGTCCTCCAGGGGCTGGCACTCGGCTCTTCTGCTGCTGCCCACCCATCTGGCCTGAAGGGCGCTGGTGGTCTCTCACACAGGCTCTGAATAGAGGGTGTGCCCACACAGAAAGTGGGCAGAGAGAATGTAAGAGTAATTAGTAGTAGCAGTAAATCATTATTTACATCATTACATAAGAACATGCAGTAAAACTGCAGGATAGGCTGTGTTGACCAGGTGCAGAACTCGGTCAGACAAGTGCACTGACCAGCCAGCTGTTACCCAGGGCCAGACTCTTTTATCCCCTTTTCCCTCACACTGGTTGCCCCCACAGAACCTTCCCCTAAATGTCCCATGAGAAGTCCTGCACAGACCCACAACTCCCTCAAAACACCCCCAAAGAAGTCGTACAATGTCCCCAAATGCTTTTTCCCCACAGCCCCCTGCCACAGCAGGCACTGACCACCACCAGTCTGCAGGGCCTTCTGGGGAGGGGGTGGTTCCTTGGTGGGGTTCATCGGGGGTCTGGGGTTGATCGCTCTCTTTCAGCAACCACAGACACAGCTAATTCAGTGCTACCTTTGTTTAAACCCTGCTGGGAGTCCAGATGTTCCAGTGGTTTCTGAAGCATTAACAGTGCCATTGTTTGCCATTATGCATCCATATGGACTGCCTGCCACTAGGCATGCAGCCAGGAGAAGCCTCACAACAAGCATATTCCAAACATGTTTAACCCTTTCCATCCATTGAGGGGTCTGAAAATCCAAGAGGTTACGTTTTTCTTGCCTATTTGGTTGGTTACCATGTACTTATTCCATACCTATACCCGTAAGCCCTGCAGAGCCATCTCTCTCAGGAACGTACCAGATCTAAAATGAAAAAAAGAACCACTGAGTACACATGAGCCAGCAGCAAGGTCACTTATCGTCATGGGTGGGTATCTAATTTTAAGAGGTAAAGGCACTCTTGAGGTAGCTCATGTTTCCGTTTTGGGATTCTCTGTTTACAATTAGATATAGTGGGAAAATTCATAACTCAGCTTTTCTCCTGGAAAAAAAGGTTCCCCTAGGGCACTCTGAAATACACTGAGACAAAAAAAGATGGAATTCTAGTCATGAATGTCTCAAGAGGTTTTTATATTACCTTTCTATTATTATATCACTTTCATATTACTCATTCAGTTAGGCGAGTTGCTGTACACAGCACTTTACATGGCATTAAACATGAAAGAGATGTTCTGTCTACACAGGCAGTTCCTGCAAGAGAACTAGTCTTAGAAGTCATTTCATGATCTTCCTGCTCAGCTCTTAGCCCTCCCTGTTATAACAAAAACACTTGATTGGACTGAATCCAAATGCAATGGCAGGTCCTCTTAATAAATATCCCAATTTCTGGGCTGGGAAGTTCTAACAGTGAAATGTTGAAAGAGAAATCCATGTCCATTACTCTCCCAAATTAATTATTTGATTAATGATGGGTTTTGTACTGTGTATGTCACTACCCTACAAGAGTGAACCACAGGGCTTTGCCACAGTGCTCCACAAAGTGACAAAGTTCATGTCAAGTGCTCACTTTCTGTCCATTCACAGCAGCACGTGGCCCCTCTCATCTCAGGAAAACCTGAATGAAACACCAGATGGAAACCCAAGGTTTTTCAATAATGGTTGTGCTTCTTGTGGTCACTTACCCTGATGCACAGCAAGTGCTGTTTGAGATATTTAGTCTCATGCCCTTCACTTTGTGTCTATTTTGCCCTTGGGCACCTTTGATGTAAATCAGCATCTACTCTTCCCCATTTACTGGGCAGAGTGTGCAAGGCGCTGAATATTTTATGTGCAGACATTCACAGCAATGCTGCCTCGAAATACGTAGGTTAAATGCAACAGTCACCACTAACATAGTACTATCAGCTATTCACATATGTACAGTTTTGAGCATCTGGAGCATGGTAGCTGGGTCTAAAATATAACACCTAGGGTCCACCTCTGTAAACAGTGTGCTGTAGCTGTGGAGGGATGGTGCCTCATTCTACCCGAGCAAGCAACCAGCTTTCCTCTTCAGAAAGTCCTAATTACTTGCCCAATAAGGACTGATTCAGTCAGAGGAGAGCCAATACAATTACATTACAGTAAAGAAGTGCAACAGGGAATGTCCTCAAGGTAAAACCTTTGTTAAGGGAACTGGCAGTAAAGGCAATGCAATGTCATTTACACTCCAGCAAGCAAAATACAAACCACAAAGGTCTCTACACAGCTTGGACATGCACCCAGGAACATTTCCTTGGGTGTACTGCCATGCTGTCCATAGGCAGCAGTGAGCCAGCTCTGCCCTTACAGTTAACAGAGCATTCACTGAGCCTGCAGTCGTAGCCATCACCTCCCAGCAGTGCTACCAGCCCAGCACCATGCTCATCATAGCTCTCCAGTACCCAGCCCAAAGCAAAAATGCTTGTGTCAGACAGCATGAACTTACCTGTATGCACTGGGCATTTCAAACAAACCACCTTGGTGACAGCAGTCAGCCTGAAAACTGCCCTGGGAAGTTTCTTGTTTCTAACTTCTAGACTTCCCAGCTAAAAGCAGCAAGTGTTGGATTCCAGTCTAAACTAGAAAACAAACTGCACTCAGAGCCATTGCAGCCTAGAAGCTCTCTGTGCTTACCAGTGCTCTCATCCTGAGTCCACTACATTCCCTTCAGAAAAAAAAATATAATACACTGCAAGAAGAGCAAAGCTTGAATTTGGCTCAACATTGAGCAAATGTCCCTGAAATTCAGAGCTCTTCCAAGCCAACTTATTTACTCTGACAACATCTTTAATGAAGTACTTATTTATATTATCCTTGAAGTAGAAATACTGCATCTGATGTTATCTGATATTTTTTATTTTAGTGGGTTTGGTTTTGGTTCCACAAGTGTGCCTTTGACCTGTAATAAAATCCTTCCTGAAGTAATAGCTAATTCTGAACAAGCAAGTAATTATTCCAGTAAATCCAAAGGAGGCTACAAACAGCTACATCCCTCTGACCTTTCTGTGTCCCTTTTCAGAAATGAACACGTACTTTGAGCAACAAAACAAAATTTCTCATGTTGTAGTTCTGCAGTGTCATAGCAGAGTGCTCCCTATATCCATGTAATTAGAAGGGAGGTTAATGAATTGCTAAAGCACATGTTTCCAGTGGATAAAACAGATAGAAAGGATATTTAAGTGGGCTGAATAGTTTATTAAATGAGATTACAATACACACTTTGCCCCTTGACAAGTGTCATTTCAAGACACGTTGACGTAATTCTTTACCTCAGGAAAGCCCATTAGTTAAAAAAGGGCTGTACTCTCTACTACTGCATGCCAGTGTGGTCCCCCATTTCTTTTGGCCTGAATATTTTCTCCTTTTTTCTTTTCTACCTCTTAACCTTTCATATTTTCCCTTTGATTTTCTAGCAAAAATAGAGATCAGCCTCAGCTGTGACTTTAGATATGTGCTTTCTGGCACCCATTGCAGTGCTGGAAATTTCCTCCGTTTGTCAAGCTTCACCACAGTGTTTGCAGGGATATGCCCATGGAGTGCAGTGCCCTTCCCTGTGCAGGATTCAGAAGATGGTTTAGGAATCATCAGTCTCGTACGTAGCTTTCAAATGCTGCTGTCCCTAGGAAAGAAGAGCAGAGGGACATTACAACCCCCATGACTCCAATACCTGGAGCAGATTCCTTTGGATGTCTATGAAGGAGCTGATCCCTTGCCAAGGTCTGGAGGTGGCCTCGCTGAAGAAGAAAAAGGACACATTTCTAGGGAGGCTACCTGCTCCCTGGCCCACAGAGGGACCAGCTTCAGCCTGGCTGCTCTTTACAGCCACTCGGAGCTTTCATAACCCTTTCAGGAACACACTTTAGCCAGACATTTTAGAAAAGAAGGTTAGAGTTTTTCTGCCTAAGATATGATGTCTCTGCACCTGGTCTTGTTGGGGGAGGATGGGGTTTCCTCTTCCCATTTTAGGGGTTAAGGATATCTTTTGAAAGCTTCCCAGTACCAAGCTACCATGGTGACACTGCTGCAGGAGAATCTTAATAGAAGGGGGAAAAAAATCACCTCTCATTCTTCTTCTCTCTGGCATGATTTTGAAGTATATCTTTTTTTTAAAAAAAGAAAATCGATTATATCAAGAAAGCAGACAGCACCATTTTCTGTACTCATGGTGCTTCCAAGCCTCAAATTTGTGGAAGTAACATCTGATTTTACAAAAACAAGAGGCCAAAAAAGTGCAACAAATTTATCATCTTGCTAAAATCTGTGTCTTGATTGCAGTTGTAATACATATTCCAAAGTCTCATTAGGCAGCTATTTTTTCCCAGTTCATTGCAAAGCCCTGTCAAAAAACAACTACTGTCTAAGCACCCCATTCCCCTTCTTCTCTAAATATTGCTTGTCTGCTCGTACAGATTTTTCTAAATGCACCTCTGTCATCTGTAAGAGGGTAATAGGACTAAAAATTACTTAGT